TAAAGAAAGTGTCCACGAGGGAGGGGAGTAGGAGTGACGTGGGCAGTGCCACAGCAGAGAAAGATGTGTGGGAATTTCGTCGTGGCAAATTGAGAGTGGAAGTTGAGATATTTTGTGGAAGTTCATGGATATTGTTCTTCACACGTAGATAGTCCTCGCTCGGGTCAAGATTCTTCCAAAACACCAGGTAGGACCTACCTCTTGTATTATGGTGGTCTGGTTCATTCGTACGTTGAATAATACCAGCCACTTAAAATTATAGAAGACAGGTTCAACCTTTTCCTATTTGCCTATTTTTCCTGTCCTGGTGGACAGAACTTTCAACCCTCAACCTGTTTGTCATGCAAAATTTCCCCAAAAAAGAAATATAAGGACTAACTCGACTTTGCATACACCAAATTCTATCATTTTCCTGCTTTTTGTCTTAAATTTTAATTTTAAACACTTTGTATCTTAAACTTCTAATTTTTGACAGTTTGCATTATAAACTCTCAAGTTTGTCTCGATTAAATCTAATTAATAACAACATTAGCAAGGTTAAGAAATAAATTATCATAGAAATCAATAACAATATGTTAAAAATGATCAAAAGGAGCAAAGGGGTTGTAATCTAGAACAAATTGGTCAAAAGTTTGTCCCATTCAATAAAAAAAAAAAACAAGACTAACAAGATAATGCATTTTTTTTATAATGTACACGTTTAATTTAATGTATTTTTTATGCTAATTGCAATTCCTTTGCACTATTTGACCACTTTAAGAATGTTGTCATTGATTTTTATGATCCTATGGCGTTGTTTGGCATTTGAGTTTTTTGCCAAGTTTGTCTGCCACAAGTTTTTTAAAAACTTTAGCTACAGTAATCTCAAAAAACTTCTTAAAGTACAATAAAGTTTTAAACAAACATCCAAAAAACTCACTTGTCAAACGGGGCCTATGTTTCATTAATTTTGCTAATGCTTATTATTGATTGGACTTAAATAAGACAAATTTGAACTTTGATGGGGACTGAACCACCATCAGACCAGACGAGTGCACACACCCGTATGGATTTAGAACAAACCTCATATTGAGGGACATTGATGGGAGGAAAGGTTTGAACCCTTGACCTCCCACCCCACAATTAATGTGATGGCCAACTCCACTAAAGGAAGTTGGTTGACAAATTTGAAAGTTAGAGTGTAAAGTTTTAAAATTAAGAATTTAGTATAAGTTTAAAAGTGCAAAATGAAGTTAGCCTGAGCAACTGTAGGTTATGTTGCGAATAGCAAGGTTGAAAATAGAATGTCAAGGGGGTTTTGGTCAGCATAACAAAGATTCTTTCCTTCTAACTTATTAGATAGTAGGCCTCATAAATTAGAGGTTTTGGGTTTTAATTTTCCTGCCTTCTTCCGCTTTTTAAATGACACATCTTTTTTGATAGAAAAAAATTAAAAGAAAATGTATCAAATAGCATAAGGAAGAGTCATTTGAGTGCATATCAATATCTATATTCCGAATGGAACAGATAAAGTTGCTCAAAAAAAAAAACACAAATAAAGTAACGTCGGACCAAATTATTAATACCTCAGAGAAAATTAAAGTTTGTAATAAACGCATTCATTTGGCCCGGAGATTATGAATCACTAAAAAGTGGCGTTTACAGCATAAGGGTCTTAACCATGAAACAATTAGTCTGGATTAAAGTTTTTTGATAGAAAATATCATTTCATTGAAACAAATCTGCACTAATGATAAAAAAAAATACATCAAATAAACATGACATAGATACATATAAATTTAAAATCAATAGATATAACAGATCTAAGAAAATAATACAAATAAAGATAAAATTAATGCGCCTATATATTTTTCATCCGAATGAGTCACTGTAGCACAATACATCAGTGCATGTCTGCTGACAATCAGATCTGTTTAAAACTGGTTCAAGTCCAAAAAGAAATTTCAATCTGACAATAATGGAGAAATTACAAATTTGAGAAACTAGATTCTAGATATACACAATCTCAAATTTCATAAAGATAAAAACTTAAGAGAGAAGAAACTCTCACTAGGAGATCATAGGAGAGAAAAATCTCTCATTAGGAAATCTTAGAAGAGAATTTATTCAAATAAGATAAATTAAAAACTATAAAGAGTAATTTCTCCCATGGAAAAAGACAAGATTTGGTCTCTTTGCCCTGGAAGAAATGCAGAAGATTTTGATGGAAGAGTTAAAGAAAAGGGAGAGAAAAGAGTTTTAGAAAGAGAAGGGAGAGGAATGAGTCAGTCACGACTCACGACTCACGACTCATGCATTATATAGTTAGATATAATAGAGATGCCTAATCCTCTTGTTACTGTTGTTCTCGTTTAAAATAAAACGTAGGCGTAACTTAAGAAGTTAGACCTTTTTTGGCATTGTAATCTCCCGGAGACGTTGGAATGTAGCGCATTAGGTTACATATATCGACAATCGAAATTCCTGTCCCACAGAATTTCCAACCTCTTGAATCGAATGGTTGGTTACATAGTAGACACACCTGTACTCAATGTTATCCTTGTTCCTTTCCTTCCCCAAACAGATTTTAACTTTCCCCATAAATATTAATTTGTTGACTCGGGTCATTTTGACACTGAAGTTACAATCAAATTCCACCAACCACAAGGGAAACCAAACCAAAAAAAAAAAAACAGGAGGATACTTCTATCATCAAAACTGAGGAAGAGAAAAAAAAAAGAGTGCAACCATCCATGGCTTGTTGTCCCGTGAAGTACTTCCGTCTTTGTACCAAGTCAATGGAAATGAATTTACGTCTCTAATTTATCTTCAAATGCTGTGTTTTTGTTTTGTAGAAGGTCCGCTCCGCTGGTAGTGGCCCACGTTTGGATTCTGCATCCTGTTTCATTTCAGACCTTATTTTTTTTGAATTTCCAGAACTAACGACCGACCGGCATTTTACTTTTCAACTTTGAACAAGTCCAACTGCCAAATGGTAAGTGGTAACAACAATCAATTCCTTCTTGTTGCCAATTAATAGACTGGTGCTAATATGTAGTCCTAATAATAAGTATTCTGATTGCAAATCCTTCAGCACGAAGAGTACCCGCTTCTAGACTCGAGACACGTTAGTTAGCACCAAAAAAAAAAAAGCCACATTTCATTTATTCTGATTGCAAATCCTTCAGCATCATCATCATCAATACGCCCGTGGAAAAGTCATCCCCCAATTTTTTTTTTTAAGTGGAAAAGTCATCCCCCACTTAATGGAGTAAGTTGTTAACAACCCTTCACAGAGAAAGCTACTTTTCGCCCTACAGACGAGCTCAATTTGTTAATTTTCAAAATTCCTTTTTTTTTTTTTTTGGGGTAGCAAGAGATAAAGAGCCGTCATTGTCGATTTCATCAACACAAATATGATGATTAGCAATCAGCTAAGTTTCATAGTTTTCGTCTCAAGATTAGACACCAAGCACTCTTTTGGGTTTTATTTTTTTTTAAAAAAAATTGTAATAGTAGAGGGTGAAATTTAAAAAATGAATAGGAAAAACGAGAATCCAGAACTTTTAAATCGAGCAAACACTCGATTAAGAGGATGGCGGAGCTTTGTCTCTTGCAAGTAAAATAATCTTCAGTCCAAGAAGAGAGTTCTGTTAGTCATCTTGACAAATCCGGATTTTATTGCAAGTTCATAATTCTGGGATTTGTTACAGTTTCTTGCAAGTTGAGATGTTTTGTCCATGATTTGTATTTGGAGACCTGATCAAACTTCAAATACATGCACAGCGAGACAAAAAGGGTCCAACAACCAACAAAAAAAAAAAAAAAAAAAAAAAAAAAAAAAAAAAAGAAGAAAAGAAAAAAAAGGCTCAAGCTGTCAACCTCAACGTAAGCCCGGGGGATCGAGTCTTACGCCAATTGCGCGTCATCGCCCTCAATCCTTCTTTACTCAGGAGTTGCTAACTAAATGTGTTGGTTTGTGGCATAAATAATATGGTAATGGTACCAGCAGAAGCAGCAGTAACGCGGAAATCAAATTGAAAATTCTCAGTCGTCCCCTCCGAAACACTCCCCTTCTTTCGTTTCTTCCTCCTGGTCTTCGGCTCGCTACTTCCCGGTTCCTACAATTGAAGAATCGTGGTAACTTTTACTCCTCATCATTGAATCCATCCTAATTCAGTCCCACAAAGAAATGAATTAAGTGGAAGAAAATGGGCACCGTACAATAAGCAATGGAGTACCACCACGAACAGCAAGTAGAATGACACTCTAATGCATGTATTAGAGCATGCATGTATTTCAGGTTTTTGTTGAATTAGTCAGCAATTGGACTCCCCCATAGAATTTATGCCCTTAAAAGTTAAAAGGCCTAAACCCAACAACACTTTCGCAATTCTCACGGTTGACCAAAGACCGCTGTTTGAACGAAGAAAAATCACTCGCTTTCCTCGGTCAAATTTTCAATTCTTCCATTCTGCTTCTGTTATACTACTCTACTCTTTTCCTCAATTGCCTTCCTCTTCCAAAAAGCTCGTATGTATATATATACATATATATGTATATATAGAATAAACCTCAGACTCCTCCATTCCACACCTTCGAACTCACAATCGTCACCTTAAAAGATAGAGCGCACAATCTGATCAGCATCCCATAAATTTTCTCTCTCTTTCTATCACTGTTGGTTCCCACAAAACAAAATAAATTTGCAAAAATAATAACTTGAGCATTCCTTTCCTGCCTGGTTGCTCCTTTCTGCTACTAAGTTCCGGACGCAGATTGCATGATTTCAAAAGCAAAGATCGATTTTCCTCAACTCAGAGGCTTCCAGCTTTTCTTGCATGTTCATTTTGCCCGCAATCGCGCAAGTTCTGGCATTAAACACTGGTTGACGTGCCCGCTGCGCGGTGCTTGACTTGACATACACTTAAAACCTTTCTTAGCGTGCACAGCTCGCTTCTGCTTATTGGACAGCATTCCAGAAAGAACTATACTGGTGCTTCTCTCTTTGTAATTTGAGGATGGAGAATTCAGCAGATTGGGAGCTTGGGAATCTGATAAATGAGCTAATGCTAGGGAGGGAGTTGGCTAAGCAGCTTCAGGTTCGTATCAATGCCCCATCTTCTTCACCCGAGAGTCGTGAATTGTTGGTTCACAAGATAATCAACTCCTACGAGAAGGTGTTGAACATGCTCAAAAGTAATGCCGCTGTCAGAGTGGGAGAGAGGGAACAAAGTACAGGGACAACCATCGCAATGTCTGAATCCCGCTCCCGCCAAAATACAGGGTTGGCAATTGGAATGCCTGATTCCCCAAGATCCTTGAGCGCAAGTCCGCACAGTGATGATTCTGATAGAGAATTCAGGGATCAGGACTCCAGAGACGTCACCAGGAAGAGGTAATCAAATCAACTGTTGCTCTCACTTCAGCTGTTTTAAGAATTTGTTTCACAAAACTTTGTTGTATCATCACTTCCTATTGCTGCTAACACTCCGGAGTCCCTGTTGCAGGAAGGCTATGCCACGGTGGACAAAACACGTTCAAGTTTGTCCTGGGATGGGACTTGAAGGGCCTCTAGATGATGGCTTCAGTTGGAGAAAGTATGGGCAGAAAGATATTCTTGGAGCCAAACACCCAAGGTAAGAAACATTTTCACTGCCAGCATCTACCATTGCCCCTTCTAATTTGCTGATTTCCTGGTACCATTGAAGTACAAAGACCAGCATGTTGTCAGAATCTACCTTTCAGAAAGTTGCTAGGATACCCCTTCTTGAGAGGGAAAAGCCAAAAAATGCCCAACTATATGCAACTTCATTACATCAAACAATAGGCTTCAGTTCACTGACTTTTGGCTCGATGATCCCAAAATATTTGCCCAACTACCCTGCCACTCCTACCATGCAGAGTCTTCTTTCTTTCCCCAAGCTGTCATTCTTTTGCATTGAACATCTGGCCTGGTCATTAGGGCAGTAACTGGAGGTAAATGCTGGAGAATAATCAAAAAGGCAAAATAGATTTTACAGCAGAAAAAAAAATGTTCATCCATGACTTGATGGAACTGCGAAAACACTTTCTAGGGTATTAAAATTAAGCATACCAATTATTTCTCATGCTTTAAGTTTGTGTAACCTTGCTATCTACAAAGAAAACATAGCTGACTTCACCATATTCTTGCAGAGGTTACTACAGGTGCACTCACCGACACGTCCAAGGCTGTCTGGCTACAAAACAAGTTCAAAGATCTGATGAGGACCCAACAATATTCGAAGTTACATACCGTGGAAGGCATACATGTAACCAGGGTTCTGAGCCAAAACCACCTTCAGCAGCAGCTGAAAAGCCTGAAACTAGCTCGCAAGGGAAACATCGACAGGTGACCTCTCAACCGCAACAAAATCAACAGGGAATACTCTTGAGTTTCCAACGAGACCTAAAAGTTAACACCAAGGACCTAGACTCCCACAACCAACATTTCCCTACATTTGACTTCGCTTCAACATCAACTACAAAGCCAGAAACTCATCCTTTCTTGCCATCTCTGACTGATAACAACTTTGCAGGAGATTTGTCTCCTCCATTCATGACTCCCCTAACATCAGGGTCAGACTACTTCCCGGTTTCACCAACTCACATAAGCAGTTATGCAGAAAACCAAAACTCGTATGCTTCGGAGTCAGAATTTACAGGCTTGATCTCAGCAGCAACTTCCACTACAAATTCTCCCACTGTTGGCTCAGACTTCCCATTCAGTCAGATTGGCTTTGACACGAACTTTACATTTGATAATTCAAGGTTCTTTTCCTAGTCGTCACAGTAAATTTGAGAAGAAAACAAGAGTAGAATCGTATGAAATTGTAATTCCAGGTAGTGGACAAAGAAGGCTTTTATAACATCATCATGTGAAGACGTAGTCTGGTGGAAACCAGCTGAGTAACTGGCATAGAAAGAATATTGTAAACTTAGAGTATCTAGACAGAGGTTAGTGAAGAAACGGTAACAATTTTGTTGGATTCATGACCCGAAGTCCTTTTGATTTTCGTCTCATGCAGTTGTCTGCACTCTGATCAAACTCTGAAATCAATTAGAATTCAGGTAAGAACTTTGTATCTGACATAACATAATCTTGTTGCAAGCTTAAATACCTAAATACAAATAGTTGGCAGTCTTTAAGAGCTCAAAAATTCAATGGGCTCTGTATGTTTTCAATCTTATATTCAAAGTTAGCGCTAGATGCATATTTTCTTCACTTCTCAATATCATTAGATAAACGGAAGTTAATCAACAAATAAGGTTTCCCCACAAAAGACTTCCAAGGAAATCTCTTAATTAAGCCACTGAATTTGCTTCATATTTTTTTCCCAAATGCGGAACCATGCACGTCCTGGGTATCTGTCAAATCTGTATGCAGCAGGACGAAATTCAGCCTATGTAACTCCAACTTCAACCATACAAGTACAACAAACAGCGAAATTAGCGTTTTGTCTCATCCACTTTCAATTCCAAAAAAACTAACAGTAAGCAACTGTCAAGCCAACAGGAAAATCACACTAAAAATCGAACTAGTCGACTTCTCAAATTAGTTTCAATTTAGTACGGCCGCCACAAATTCCATCTTTAAAAATTCGTGATTACAACGGCACCCAACATTTTCAGGGCAAAAGTCTTCATATGTGTGTGAGTGAGAGAGCGGAGGCAAACAAAAATTAATTCTAGATTTTCGGTCGTCAGAAAAGTACGAAGCAGGAGAATAAAATTTACAAGAAAACCAGCGGAAAATGGAGAGGAGAAGATAGGGTAGAGCTAACCCTAACTTTTTCTTTCCAGAATATCGAGCTTGGCCCTGCCCATCTCCGGCTCATTGTCGTTGTTACGGTGCCGCTGGGCGGGGTGGCGGTGGTTGCTGGAGCCACATGGAGCAACTTGATGCGACGTCAGCTCTAAACTCTAGAGCAATTTATTTGGGGCTCAGCAGAGTCCAAGATGAAAACCTTTCGGCTCAAGGACTCTCAGTGAACTGGACGGCCCCTAACTTGACCCAATCCAATGTGGATTTTTGCCCATTCTTAAGCTCTGTACTCGGATCATGTAGCGCGGGAATGGACAGGGGCAATTTGGAAAATCAGGAAACTCTCGAGTCAGCGATTAGGTTTCATTGTAGGAAAGAGTAATGAAGGGATTTTGATATATGTAAAAGTTAAAAAATCTGAAATACATCCGTTTCACTGTAAGTATACAGGTCAATTAGTAGTTTAGAGTATATATCGGGTCGATCCTACGAGCTTGGTTTGAACAATTATCGGTACTACTAAAATTTCTCTATTATTTAGACTATCAATGAATTATAAGAAATGAAACCTACTGAACTTATGCAAAATAACAAATGAAAGCTCATTAGGTTATGGTATCCCTAATTACTCATGCAAGTGCTATTTTTTGATTATTGAAAATTACTATCTTGGCTAGCTATGATGTAATTTCCTTATGCATATGAATCCTACTTTCATAATGAATAAATTATACTCATAACTAATCCATACATATTCTCATGATTATGAAATTAGCTACAAGTTTATTTCTTCTGTGAAATTACATGAAATGAATCACTAAAACCACATAGGTGCACCTCTACTCTCGTGAGTATACTCCCTATATTTAGTACTTATTGAACCAATGTTAAATCTCAATTTTCATTGCAGAAACAACACCTTAGATAATCACAATTAATGGTACCAGATTAATCATGATTTAAAGAATTAAAGTGCTAAATAACTTGCTCAAATAATAGCATCAAATAACCAAATAATAAACACTAGCAATTATAGAAAATTTAACCAAACCCAATGCATAAACTTTAGAAACACATAATAACATATAAATCCATAACTTGTATATTAACTAAACTTAAAATTAAGTACAAAAGATAAAGAGTTGGAAAGGAATGTAACCCTTGTCACATGAGTTCATCTCCTTGCCTTCTTCATCCTCCAACCTCTTCTTCATCTAGCTAATAAACAAGATGGATGAACTAACTAACTAACTATCCTATACTATACTAACGTAACACTCAGAAAATGGAAGAGTTACATTTCTGCAGACTTCAAGCTTTCTCCCGTATGTCTCTCTCTCAATCTTGCAATGGTTTTGGCTATATAAAGATAAAGATGGTCAAAGAATGAGGCTTACACCTCTCTTTTACAGCTGCAAAGTGTTTGTCACATGTCTAGCATTACATGTGACTTGTTGGAGGTGAAAACAAGCTGTCCGCGTAGAGAGCAGCCTTTTCTGAGCACAATCCGACCAGAAATCCGGCCAAATTCTAGCCAAATTGCTACAGTGACTTTTTTGTGCAATTTCTGTTCAATCTTCACTGCTGCTCCGATTTTGCTTCAACTTCAACTGAACTTTTCTTGATGATAGAAGCTGATTTAACTATTGACCAAAACATAAAACTTGTAGCTCTTTGAGTTAACTTTCCAATGCATTAAGAATCACCTCATTTGGACTTGTGTAGGCTGAGAAATGACTGAAATACCCTTAACTGCTCAATGCCCTGTTTTAGTTTCGACTAATAGAAATTAGCTACTATAATTCAACTTTTTGACCTGAAAAACCTTCAAACTGGATTTCAATGTCTTCACCAAAGTTGTAGGTCTATCTCTTATCTTCGAATTGGTTCAAGAATCATCTCAAACCAATCACTGTAACTCAAGTTATAGCCGAAATACGAAAATGTGTCAAAACTGTAAAAAATGCACAAAATACAAGTAAAAAGTGATAAAAACCTCATTAAATCACTTAAGACATTTTTCCCCAATTATAGCCAAAATGATTCATTTTCTTCCAATAATATAACCAAAGTGATTAAAAATAACATAAAATGTCATTCAACTATTACGTAAATTAGTCACTTATCAAGTAACAATATCAGTGGCCAAAAAAAATGACAACGAAAATTATAAGCCAAAATGATGATCATAATTTGGTAATCTCAGGGCTATATTAGAATATCGAGAGAGCAAGATGGTGAATTTCCAAATGGTGGATAGTAAGGAATATTTTGTGTTGGGACCATAGCTCTTGTGAGTTTTTACTTCCTCTTTGTCATTTGTAGCTTTTGCAGTCATGTTTACGAGACTATGAGAATCGGGAATTAAACCACCATCGAATCATACGGATGCAATAAGCACTTATATGGATTTAAGAGAAATCATATTAAGTGACAACTTTGATGGGAGGTAAGATTTAAATTATTGACCTCCCACCCCACAAGATATGTGGTGGCGGATTATTGTAAAGATAGTTGGTTAAGTTATGTTGTCACTTGCCACAGCAATTTTGCTCTCAGTATCTATATTCTATAGTACCTTTGCTGTGTGAAATTTTGTTGCTCATATTTCGAGATTCTAACTTTTTTAGAATAGCAATTTTGATAATGATGTTATTGGATTTATTTTTAAAATTTAAATTGAATATAGTATAAAATATAGATAAAGGTAAAATTAAAATTAAAGGAGAGATCAAAAGTAACTTTCACTTCAATAAAATAAAAAATATTTTGAAATATTCAAAAATGAAAACGTCACACTTTTAATTGACTGACGTAGGAGTAGTATTCAAAACAAACAACTCTAGCATTAAAACTACAGGAGCTATTGCAATATCATTTGTCAATAAGGACTATTACGAGCCCCCACGGGCAGCTCAGCTGGCTTGTGTAGCCTCTTCAGGTGAGACAGGTCTGGGGTTCGACCCCAAGGCTTAGTGTCTGGGGTAATACTCTCGGGGATCGGTGGGGCCCGCTCTCCCCGGACGATGAGAATAGTGGCACAGACGGTATTACCAGTCCGGAGTGACCGATACCCAGCGATAAAAAAAAATTAAAAAAAAAGGACTATTACGATCCTATATATAATCCCATTACTACCCCTAAATGTTACTCACGAGTCTCGACAATAGTTGATTTGGTCCCCTTGGGAAGTGGGAGCAGTCCTCCGTAATAAATTGGTCGGACGGCCCAACACAACACTTGCATCCCCACAACTCAAGTCCATGCATTTCATTGTGTTGGCCATTCTGATTCATCTATGTGCTATTCTGCACCAAGATTTATTAAAGCAAAAGATATATAGGATTTCTGGCTTGATTCTTAATGTGTTCCTTTTTAACACGTACCCCCTTGTACCTTATGATACACTGACTAATTAAGGAGTAGGCCAAGCCTGGATTGGACCCCGCATCCTGTTGTGGCTTTTCATGCAACAACCGGCTCTAGCAAGAGCTTTTACGGTCTCAAGAGTACTACTGCTTGGGGGACCATTTTTTTCTTTGACTTGCTTATTAACTTTTTGGGTCTGGCATAAGGGTTCTCAGACGCCACGAACTATGCCCGCTCGGTAAATGAGTTTTTTTGATGTTTATTTAAAATTTTATTATAATTTATCATAAAAATTATAGAAAATTTTTTAAAAGTGTGTAAATTTTTAAATATTTTGAAATATATAGTTTAAAAAATTTAAGAAATTTTTTGAGATTACTGTAGATAAAATTATTAAAAAACTTACAGCAAACAAATTTAGTCAAAAACTTGCTTGCGAAACAAGGCCTATATTACTAAGATGGAACCACTAAAAAAGAAAAATAGTTATCGTCTTCGAATATATATATATATATATATAAGGCTGGCTGCATGCACGTTCATGCCTTGCCTGCCAACCCTAAATATTTTTTCGGGTAAGCTAACCCTAGAATGAGATGCCAAATGCATTAAGAGAGGTCCAATCTTGGATTGTATCTATTTGCTTATACATATATAAGAGCATCTCAGTCCATTTCCTTCAAATTGAAATGATGCAATATGTGTCTCAGCCCTGAAAATATACATAAGGAATGCAGAATCTCTTAATGGTAACAGTAACAGTCCAGTTGTTACTTGCATTCAAAGATCCTATTAATTACCAGTTATAATTAGTCACTCGTATCTCATTTCATGAACATCATTCACAGAGTTGTTATTCCCAAGTATGATGATATTACCTCTAGTAGAAGTGGTACAAAGTGAGTTAGTTGCTGATTTATGATAAGCTCATGCCAAAAATTGATTCCTCGGTGTGTTAATTGCATTCATTCGACGGGATGGATCACTTCATGAGACAGATTTCTTTTGGTTCTGGTCATTATTTTCGCAAAGTGTAAATCCGCATGACCATCATCACTCTTGAGTATTCTCGTGAAATCATTATAATTTCTTCATGAAACAAGGTAGTAAAACGTGGGGCATCCAGTCTTGTCAATGGGAGACTGGGGCAACAAAGTTGCCCTTCCCTCCCGAGAGTACAATAAAGAAAGGACTTGGCACCCTTGACGACCTCTGCGATTTTCTGTTTTGAATACTTGTTTTTCGAATATCCTTCATCTGGTGTGCATCATTCACTTGATCTTACGATTACATCGTTGAGGCAACACTTGAATTAATCCGCTCATGATGCTCTTTTTTTTTTTTTTTTTTTTTTGGGGGGGGGGGGAATTACTTAAGCGTACCGTACAGGATTGTGACTCATCATCTTAAAGAGGCAAGAAGAGATGCTCCAGAGTCCAGACCTTGCATTGCTTGCTCTTATTTCATAGGATTTATATAGGAAGATTTTATAGGCCCTTTTAAATAAATGTATTTTACTGTTAGCTTGTAACAATTTTAATTAAAAAAATATAGATCAATCTCATTTTTGAAGGATGTTAATTCAGGAAATGATTCCCTAAAGGGATCATAGAATATCCAGTACGAAAATTAAATGCCTCTGCAAGTCTTTTTTTTTTTTGCCTACTCTATTCTCTTCTTCATTACTTGGCTGATTTCAGATATTTTGGAGTTAAGATATAATTGCAGCTTTACAATATGAGGTATATATCCAAATAGAAATTTCCAGACCAAAAGTGAGAACTGATATTTGACCATGGTGCAGCAGTTTTGCTTGTGCAGTAAAAAAAAAAATGCTCTAGCGCCACATTTCTCACGTTATAGATGATAATTAGGGAATCAGGGATTGCTATATCCTTCTTTCAGCGTAAGAGAAAGTACGAGAACAGGTGTCTTCAGTCTCTAGCATGCATCACCGGACCAGTTCCCATTGTCTCCGGCATGCAAAGCCACTAAAGCTGCTATTGAATGGACATAAATATCGTAGTCCAAACTGTTGCTTCCCGCTAAGTTCGCGGCCTATATAGGCAGAAAAGACCTAACGTTCTTGGTGTCCAGTGCCATCTAATTACTTCATTCCTTATGGTAATAATATCCATGTCAGTATGTTAAACTTCTCTTATTCTTGTAACTGGAAGAAACACCCCATCTAGAACTGAGATCCGCCATACTACGACGACAACAACATTTACAATAAGAATACTAGAGGAGGTTGTTTCTTTATTATTATTATTATTTTTTTTTTTTTTGCCAACTCGGTAACAGAACTTTCATTAAACCAAAACAACTGTACAAGAGTTCAAATATCTGGAGCACCTGCTCCTACATCTTCTTTGACTAAGGTCACTAGCCAAACTGGGAAGGAAAACCTCCACTCAATCTCAACTGTTATGGTAATCACATTCCCTTCTCTATGATAAAAGGAAAATAGACAGTTACCAAAACCCTTACTCAGCTTTAATATATCTTCAAGAAGCACTCGGGTAGGAAGAATTATTTAGTCATTGAAAAATTATTTTCGTCTCGAACTCTATCCATCCTATAAGCATCATATTCATTTGTAGGTTCTTGGGATGGTTTGATGTTGTCGGGTAGTACTGATTTGAGAAAGAAAAAGAGAGTGCTGAGTGTTGTACAAGGGCTTAGAGCCTCTACGCAAGTGTTACTAGCAAAGCAAGTGAAAGTTGCAAGATTGCTCTATGACAGATTAGGGAAGTGGAATTTATCTAGTACAACAAGTATATATATAGAGAAGAAGTAGGACCATAAAGAGTGTGGTCGCTTTTTATCTTGGTCTATTTACACTTTCGTAGCAGTTGCATAGTCAGTCGTAACTAGGTAGTCATCTTCCTTTGAGGTTTTTAGGTCCAAGTTGCATATGTTAAGCATATTTCATTTCTAACCAATTTTGTACCCTAAAAAATCATTCGTCCCCTCTTCGCTTCAAATTTTCGTGTGGGTGTGCATCAAAACTCTCCACGAGCAACTAGCCACGAGGGTACATCAACTTTAACAGTTCAAACAAAATAAAAGGGCAAGCTAGATTTAAGAGACAAATTAAGCTAGAGAGATACTAGTACAACTAACGAGCAGCAATCCACTAGAAAATATTAGAAGTCAAAGTTGATCAGCCAGTTGCTCTATGTCAACCGCATATGTTTCAATTATATATGTATCTTTTATTGAGAGAGATCCAGAGAGCATAACTGTGTTAGAGTTACTGAACGAAATGCAGCAAGACAATTAACCTTCTGTTAAACGCTGAAGGAGGACTGCTACCCGGAGGATTTGGGGGAATCTTAATTAGCAAAATGTTTGCTGAATTTGTTGAGCCAATTCCTCCGCGCTAAGTTGGCACTCAATTCCAATCTGTGAAGAAGAAAGATGAAAGGAACGCGTACGATCACATCAGTCAAGCGAGTAACATTTGTTGGCAACAAAATGCTTGTAGTAATTATGGCCCCTACCCAATTCAATAAAAATTTACTGATGGAAATTAAGGACTGCAATGGTTTTTAAATTCAGTTTTAAGGACCATTCAATAAATTGCATAAACATTTATAGCATAACGTTACACAAAAAGGACCATTCGTGATTTACTGATAGAAAGATAAGATTCTTTGTTGAATTGGAAAAAGTAATTTCTGGTAAAGCTTAAAAGATTACTTTGACAGTCAGTACATGTATTCACCCTCGCCATGTACCGTCAAGGATTAGAAGCTAGAACCCCAAGTGCAATCTCATGCCAAAAAACAAGAAAAAAGAATCCCAAAGACAGCTGCTTCTTTAATCCCGACGAGCTGAACAACCACAAAAATCTTGGTTCCACTTTTCCAATATTGGAATATTAACCAAGGTCTAACAACTTTTTAATCTACAGCAAAAGAATATTACGTAAAAGGTAAACAGATGCATGATAAATAGCACCAGGGTTCAGTGTTTGCAGACCTACCTTAATGGTGAAAGAATTAATCATGGTTTGATCAGTAGCGCTCATTTCCACCTGGAGGATTTCGAGGGAGAGGTCTTCAATAGCAGAGACTATCTTAACCACTTGGCCCGGTAAACGTGGGGACAAGGTCTTTAGGAGGACATTTGGGCCAGAGAACTTCACCTCCACTTCGGCAATTGCCGATTTGGAATTTGCAACCAGCTCATTAACACTGTCAACAGTGGAGGAGGTACTGGAAGAGCATGGAGATGGTAAACCATGCTGCTGCAACCTTGGCTTGTAGGGGCTGCTGGGTTGTGGTGTTCTTGGGCTTATGGGCAAGCTTAATCTGGGGCTTAATGGTGGCTTTCTAGGGCTCAGCGGCGATGACCGTGGACTAGAAACAAGTCTAGGACTTAAAACCTCGCTGTAAACTTTTCGTTGCTTCTTGGCCTCGAGGGATTGTAGAACCTGCTGCAGCTCGTTGATGTAATCCACAACCCCACCTATGATTGACGCTTGGTCACCCTACAGTATGCACACAACAATAACATATAACCAATGAATAAAATACTTCAGAATATCAACTTTCTTGAGCCCTCCAAAAATTAGACGCACGCATCATACTGGAAAGCTGCCTTGAAGAAGGAAGTACCAGCCTCCTGGACATGCATGCATATGTGGGATGTGTAATACGATTGCCAAAAATGAACTACATTAATTGGGATAAGAAGCTCAAATCTGGAGAAATTATTGTGATCAAATGAATGAAAAAGAAAAGAACTCACTTAGTCTTGATCTTTATAATTTAACAATAAAAGTAGTACTACTTAGTTTGTCAAGGAAAAAAATATAGAGGAAAGGATAGTAGTAGTACTATCACTTACTAAGAGAAGCATTTACCCTTTTGACATAAAAGCAAGGCATCAAAGAACGCAAGACGGTTAAGTGCTCGTTCATCTGCTTCCTCCGATTCCTCTCCACTGTTATATGGGACATCCTTTGCAGTCCATCTATGTTGGCTTCCTCAGAAGAAGCCGTTGCTGTTGGCTCTACTGTGAGCTTCCGCCTCTTGCTCTTTTGCGAAGTTTCGAGCTCATTCTCGGACTCCTGTAGAGCACTTGAAGATGTGGATTTCTGGGAAACCAACCTGGTGCTGCCCGTCTCCTGATCCCCACGATCTTTCGGGTTCGAACCGCCTGCAGCTTCATCCAGTGGGGTCATCTCATTAAATTCCGAAACCCCTTCCAGAGCCTCAAGAACACTAAAGATATCATCAGGAGAAGTTGGACCAGCCAAGTTGGTTTCGTCGAACTCAAAAAGCTCAGACAAATTTTCTCCATCCATTTCGAAAACGCCCCCCAGAAAAACAGCCTTGTTAGGCGCGGGTGACTCAACTCGAAGACGGCGCTGAATGCTAGAACGCAGCAGCTACGGCAGGCAAAACTTTAAATTTAAAAAAAAAAACAGAAGAAGAAGGTAGTGACGATGCTTTTGTTGTCAAGATCATGAAAAGGCAATTTATTAATATAGTAATAGAGTTGAACGTACTGAATGGGACTAAACTATCACCATCAGCACTCACTAGCCTTCATGTGGGCCTGCTAGGAGATGGCTGGTTACGGATTGTGTAGACGATGATGTTCCTAAATCTGATGTCCCTTCTCCTTCGAAGTTCGAAATGGAGGAGCAAAGAAACTGGAAGAGACAAGGGAAGCAGCAGCAGCAGCAGCAAGGGGCACTGACACTCAGGGTTAGAATTGAAGCAGACTGCACGATGGGAAAGGATTAGAGAGCCGTTAGACTTGCAGTCTAATGGGTATTTCCCAAAACGAAATTGTGAGGCCTGATGGGGAATGAATAAGATGGGGTTTATAAAACCCGATTTAATGTGCACAGGGAAAAAAAAGGTTTGCCTACCTGACTGCTAGAACTGGGTGAGAAGGTATTTAATGTTAGTTTTTCGGGTGAGGCGAAATTAAAACAAAAAAAAAAAGGATCTAAAATGGAATAGGAGTAATAAATATGACTTTGTACATTTAAACATCAAATTAAAGTATGAAATACTAACCGGTGTCCATTGAGCATCCATTGAAAAATTTTATGAAAAATATAAGAAAAATATTTAGATAGATTGCAAAAGTCCATTTTCTCCTTCTTCTTTTTTTCTATCCCTTCTATCTGATAAATCCCACACAAGATATCTCTCAATATATAATACTGAAGCAAGAATGATATGCATTGTTTGAAACTTTTCAATGCGCCACTATCCAGCAATAGAAATTTAAGAGGACAAAAAAAAATGGTTAATCGCAAAGTATATGGTACAAATGCCAAATTCTTCACAACAATTGTAGGCAGTGATATTTGATGAGAAATTCTATGGTACTTTTAAAGTACCATTCCTTTCGTTTAAAATTCTCTGTCTCGAAATTACCTTTTATTTCGTCCGTTCCATGTTTATATTAGCTGTCACGTGTATTGATGCATTCATAATAGGTTTGTTTGAATCATGAATGCATCAATACAGACGATAGCTATATAAATACTGGACAGAAGATAATTTCGGAACAAAAGATTTGAAGTGCATTCCTTTAATATCTATTTTTGAACGATGATAGTAGTTTAAATTTTAAAATTTTGATTATTACAATCTAAAGATGAAAAATACTTATTTCACCATTCATAGAGAATTTAACTTGAGTGAATGATACCCAAAAGTGATGTTAGAATCTCTCGATTATTGGATATCCTTGCATTAAATTGTTTGACGTTTTAAATGTAGCTAAATGCAAAAACTCTCTCCAGTAGTGATCAGTTTTTTTTTTTTTTTTTCAAAATTTGAAATAAATCTAATCATAATAACCAAGTTTTACTGCAGAAAATGGTTAAGACAATTGGTACCACAACCTTTTTTTTTTGGGTAAATGTACCCAACCTTTGAGAAGCTATTCAAATTTAGCCAATAGCATGATCACATGCTGGACCTTCAGGACTTGAGCACATAAAACCCCGACAGACGTAGGGGATGTATATCTACCTTGTAGGATGTATATCTACCTTGAACCTTCGTTCTCATCAAATGATACTTTCATATCACGATGACGGATTACGTCGAACAAGAATCTTTCCCTCTACATGTTTGAATATCTTGTCACATACAAACCTAAGCTAACAAGAATCTTTTGGGCAGCCGCGGAGCCAGAAAAAAAATTCAATAGCGGCAAAAGCAATTCTAAAATTTTTATCTACTCTTTTTCTAGTTTTTTTCTTTAAAAAATATTCACCAACAAGTACAAATGATTCATATATTCCATGAAAAACAATAATTCATAAACTAAACTATTTACAATTGTTCATGACGAGTTTTCATAATTTGATAACGGTTTACAATTTTTTCATTTTGAACTTCACGAAATACATTTTTCTTAATGTAAATAACTAAACAATCATTCATCCAAGTGTTTTTCATTTTATTTCGTAACCGATTCTTCACTATATTCATAACTAAAAAAGCCCTTTCTATGATAGTTATAGCAACAGACAAAATTAAAACCAACTTTAGGAGCATATAAATCAATGGATACACAAAATTTTAAGAGATACACTTAAAATTATATCAAAATTCTATGGATACTACATAAATTCAAGAAAGCAGTGGCGCCCGTGCCTTCAGTGCCCCCAGCCTGCTTTTGGATACGCTGTCCAATCCCATTTGTACGGAAAATGAATTATAGATTACCTCGAAAAGGAATGTACGTCTAACGCCGTTGGCATTTTGTAACTCCCTAAATGCAAATTTTTATATTTCGCAATGGTTTAATTTCTACTCATATGAAGCCTATAACTGGTTTCTTTCTTTTTTTTTTTCCCTTTTTTGTTCCAAGGAGGCCAAACAATCAAACAAGCAGAATTATCATAGTGATAGTTTTTGGGTACAAGTTTATGTTGGATTCGAGAGCTGACAAAAGTATCCTATCCCAATGTGTATACTGTATAGCTAGTTAGCTACTACTGCATGAAGAACTTCAAAACTGCAACTCATGATGGCTGTGGAGAAGACTGTCATTAAACTTTAAAGAAGAAACAAGAAGAGGAAGCGGACGGCGATACGTCGGCATTTAAAAAGAGAGATGCATGTCTTGGCACTTAAACACAGACCAACGCCAAACAGTGAGAGATAACTGCATCTGAACTGAACGTACGTGGGAGCTGGAAGAACTAATATTTAATCTTGAAGCCATGGACCTGACGGAACATATATATATATATATATATATATATATATATATTTATTCAATTTGGCAATGGTCATGAAGTTGTACGATGCAAGGTTAAATGTCGCTTCTTCCAACGAGGATTTAGTTTGCAGAGGATGCCCGAGAGGCAGGGGTTGCAGGAAGCGCAGTCATCAATCCATATATAACCCAACATATAGATTGGTATATGATCCCAATGAGCAGCTTTAGCCCTTTATGTGGACCTGAAGAGCGGCAGTTTTAAGAGGCGCTAAACCCTACATAGGTTTGATTATTGAACCTCAAATGCGTGCATGTTCCTATCTCTGAGAAATGGGAATTACGCTAAGAAAAGTTCAAGTTCATATATATATATATATATATATATATTCCTACAAGAACTCAACAATTAATGTTATTTTCTTCTTTAAACTTTGGTTGGATGAGTGGTTAACATGATGACAGGAAACCATGATACGAAACTTTTAAATGCAATGCGACAAAATGCCAAGCATGCTTCAAATTCATTTTAGTGTGTGTGTGTGTGTGTACTAGTACAATACTGAAAGGGAAGTAAATGGACATGAAGAAGGCAGATGAAGGAGATGAGAACGGGGTACTGGGAAAAATCTGCAACTTGTCTCCTACTACTGCTAGCATACTATTACTAACAACTTTTAAGAGAGAGAGAGAGGGTGTGTGTGTGTGTGTGTGTGTTTTCTGAAGGAAGGTAAGAATGCAGCAGCAGGGTTGGCCTTGAATGCGCAGACACGGCATCTCCGTGCCTCGCATGATTTGCAATTTAATTTGAGGATCAAGTGGGTGGGTTCGATGCATTATGTGCTTCACTCCACATACATACAAATACAAAAACTAGAATGTGTGTAAGGCTGCTGCAGAGATATAAAGAGTGAGGAGGAGGAGGAGAGGAGTAATTGCATATGTCTGTCTGCAGGGGGAGTGCATTGCTTTTTGTGAAGGAAGCAGAGGGCTTCTGATTTTATGATGAACACAACTCACCAGCTCCCTAATGAATCCAATTTTTGTCTATGAACAATCCTTTTTCACATTTACCATCCTCAACCAACTCTCTCTGACACCCCCAACATGCGCAGACCAAAATGTTTTCCCAATCACTTCAAATTATTATCAGATTCGCTCCCTAACTACTCGAGCAATTAAATCGCACCACCATTTATTCCTATGGTGAAGTGCAAGACAGTGTCACCAACCTTCCTTTTTCAAAAAAGGCCTTAAAAAAAAACCTTTTTCAAAAAAGCAAATGATATAGCCTCCTCCTCCTGCGAGTAGTTCGACTGGTTCGATAACCTGATATTTATCAGTAGGTTTCGTGGTCGACTCCGTGTGCTACATTACTGTGTGTATTCTTGGGACAAAACTCTACACGGCCTTAGAGTCGAAAGGAAAGGTTGGGATACCTTTAAGCGCAAAAAACAAAAAAAAAGAAAGAAGCAATGATATATATCACGAGAGAGAGAGAGCGAGCAAATTATATTACAGGTAACATCACACTAAGACGTCTACTTAGGATGTGATACATCGGCGATAAAATTAATTGAAAAGATATTACATGTATCACCAGATAAAAGTTTAGCGGGAGACGAAGACATTCGTTTTTTCACTCCTAAGCTTGAGAATCATTTTCATGGATGGATTTGACGAACTCTAAATATTGTTCATTCATCGAAGCTAAGCTGTTACACTGAGTATTATTTAACTCTTTATGCATAAAGTTGGTATTTTTAAGAAAGTTTACAAAACTTCGATGAAAGTTCCTCCCATTTCTCTCCGGCTTTTGGAGAGAATTTTTTGTTTCATCCAATCTATGCTTCCATATCTTTTCTTTTTCTTCAAATTTAATTAAAACTCCCAAACAAGGAAAACTTTTTAAGTTTCTCTTGTTTTCTTTCCAAACTTGAACTCTCAGCTTAGGCCGAAGACTTTTGTTGCTATCCTATTCAAAAATAGAAAAATATTTCGAATTCTAACAACACTCGTCGGTCCCTGCGTGTATATATTTGCTTCGCATGTTCTAGAAGGATCATTATTGCCGGTGTACCATAGACTATTAGTAGTGTTCCGTAATCATGCATCCGTCCCTAATGATATCATCATCAGTAAGTTATCTTCCCACCTTTAATTCTCCTCTGGACTTTGGATTTTACGCATTATGCAACCACATATTTTTCTCGTGAGCTCATCAGTCGTTGCATCAATTTATTACTATCAATATTATTTTCTTCTGAAAAACATCAGAAAATAAGTCATGCACAAAAAAAAAAATCAGGAGGAGCAATGCTCCAAATTAAGATCATTCAAAGGTGTTTTAGCCAGATTGTGAGAAGGGGCAAATGTTGAATTTCAAATTTAAATTTTGCATAATTGGCGTTCATTTGACGTTATTGAGAGTGTATAGATTATCAGTGTAGGAAAGATTAATCCAATAAAAAAGATTAAATCTTATATCCCGTTAAATTCACGAAAACAAGATTACTTTGACTTAATTTAGTTATTCTCTACATGAATAATTAGCAAACATGAGTGCC